GTATGTTTGTTCATAAAGGCTGATGTTATTCAAGGAGACGTGATGATGACAAAGTTTATCGTTAAATTTTTAATGATTTCCCAATCTTCTGTGAAGACTAATATCTCCATTTTAAGTCTCTCTGCCTAAAATTCTCTACACTTTGACATATTACTGCTATTCATCTACACTAGATACTGAGCTACATATATACTGATATAGAATAACTAGTGGCCCAGTGCACGAATTCGTGCACATTGAAAGGAAATTAATTGGAAGAAATATTTTAATATCGCTATTCACGTTTTCTCTATAATAGAAGTGTTGACCAAATTCACGATCAATGACAGATGGAAATACACGTGCAATTGGTGCCAGCAAGAGCTTTATATGTATTGCTCATGTGTGAGTCAACTTAGCCTTTTATATATATAAAATAAACTTGCTCAATTAGTCCTGCTTTGTGATAACTACCTACTCCAGGACTTCTGTGAGGATCAAATGAGATGAGGCATGGGAAAACACTTCACAGACATTTGGTTAAAGTGTGAAATGTTTCCACCTGCCTATAAAGCAAGTTGTATTTCTGGGCTGAAGAAACTGCCAGGAGGCTAGTCATCACTAGGGAGAGGAAGCTGGGCGTTGCTATGTGACATCATTACCCGGACGGTTGGACACTTAGCATATTAGCCTTTTATATATACAGTAGGTCCTCGGGTTACGTCGGAGATTCGTTCCTACAGCATGATGTAACACAGTTTTCGCCGTAAGTCGGAACCCACCTACATAAGCACCTACATCACTCACATGGAGCACATACACAGCAGTAATGAAACAGTAAAAAAAATTTAAAATAAATCAGATAATGATTCCTGACTTGTGGTAAATAAATCATAAAAAACATAAAGCACATTATGTACATACGTCGAAATGACAGAACTTTTTTTTTTATCAATAAATGGGAGATAGCGAGGTAACCACCAAATGACATACATCAAGTTTGACATAACCCGAGGACTGCCTATATAGATAGCTGCATTGGCAGAAAATCTGCATACATTGGCCCTTCCCCTCGGGAATGGTTTGGCCCTCAGATCTGGGCAGGTTTGAGAAACAAAAGCAGAGTAGGGTGGGTGCAGAGTTGCTGGCCGGCCTGTGAAAGGTTCTTAACGTATTTGTAAAGCTGCTGCAAACAGCGCACTACGAAGAATGTTGACTCACCTCTTGTACATCTTAAGTGACTACAGCAGTGAGCAAATGGTTTCAGTTTATCCTCTCGTCCTGGAAACATGAATCCTGCCCTATCCCTGTTCAAGAACATTCCTTTCACTCTGTTAGGGTTGTTTGGGGCTGATGGGTTTTCCGTGACTCTTCCCCCATCAAAATATTCAGTTTTCTAATTTTATGACTTCTGTTTTGGCCCCTAGAGAGTAACTTGGATACTTACAGATAGAAAAATGTGTCTATAATATCCAAAACAGATAACTTTCTTCAGCCCCTTTTCTAGCACAGGGGGTGATTATACATCACATATAAATATGCCTATACCTAAAAAGTATGTTTATATGTGTGTGTGTGTGTGTGTGTGTGTGTGTGTTATCTCTTCTATATATATATATGAAAGGCTAATATGCAAAGTGTCCCCTTGGGAGTTCCACTGGGAGACTGGGAGTTCGATTGCTTGCTATGATGTGTGCTGACCACCAGGGGGCTGCACAGAACATGGCAGGCAACCAGCATTGGCGGGGCGCTGAGGAAGGGGTAGGCCCTACACTTGCGTGCATGAATTTCGTGCACCGGGCCTCTAGTGTGTGTGTGTGTGTGTGTATGACCCCTGGTCTGCCATTTCTTCCTGAATTATAAATTTTCCTACTTACTCTCCATACCTGCTTCCACCCTATGCCGCTCCTCCTCTGATTATTTGCCTCTTCCAGACCCTCACCTGTGTCCTTGGACAAGTTACCTCCTTCTTGGAGCCTCCTTGGTCTAAACCAGCAGTTCTCAACCTGTGGGTCGCGACCCCTTTGGCGGTAGAACGACCCTTTCACAGGGGTCGCCTAAGATCATCCTGCATATCAGATATTTACATTACAATTCATAACAGTAGCAACATGACAGTTATGAAGTAGCAACGAAAATAATTTTATGGTCGGGTCACAACATGAGGAACTGTATTTAAAGGGCCAGAAGGTTGAGAACCACTGGTCTAGACTGAAAAGTCCTACTTTACAGAGATTTGGTGAGATTAGAAGTCTGGCACCTGTTAATTCCAGCAAGGTTGGACAGTAGGAGTTAAAACAACAGCTCTTCTAAAGCCTCTGCTGGTGTATTCTGTTCGGATTCTAAACTTGAACCAAGCAAGAGAGAGCCCACCATAACCCACACAAAAGTGCAGCTGCCATTGGGCGCTCGCCCTGTGAGAGCCAAGTGCTGTGCGGGCTCCTTGGTGCTGCTCTCCTTTTCTCCACTCCCGTGAGGCAGGTGCTGTTGTGCTCATTTTCCGAATGAGACTTGGGGAGGGTAAGGTGCCTACATAACTGTGTGATACTTGTCACAGAGCAGCCCCAGAGGAGCTGGCAATTGGACCTCCCAGACCCGTCTCCCAGGGCCAGCATTCTCTCAGGCTGCCTCACCCTTTCGCTCCAGCTCTGGCAGGTAGGGAGCTGTCTCCACTGCCAAGGGCAGGCCAAGTCCTGCCGCACGCCCTATATTGTACTCCCTCTGTCCCATAATAATAGTAGCAAGTGAATATTTAAACGGGAATTATTGGCGAATGCAGCTGTAAGTTATGTTGTAGCGCAAAATTGCGAAGCCTTCAATCAAAATCAATGTTTCATGACATCTGTCATTTGTTTTGACACATCTTTCAATTTTTAGGTTAATCTAATTATTACAAATTATAACTATTTTTCTAATTTCATCTGCTGATCGAAATCAATTGTTTTATTTCAGTTGAATATCAACCCATTGTAAAAGTAAGATGAAAAAAAGAGAGTTTTCAAGCAGAGATCGAGTTACGATTGTCCAGTTCTTGATGCATCAAAAGAAAAAGGAAAAGTTGCAATTACATTACCTGAAAAACAATTTGAGTGCAACAGAATGACCATATCAAGAATTTGGAAACGTGCTTCCGAAAATAATTGTCAAGGAGAATCTTATGCTAATGTTGATTCTTTGAAAAAACAAAACTCGACGTAAATGCAAAGATTATGGAGAAAAACTTGAAAAACTTAGACATATTCCTCTTAGCAGAAGAGGCACCATATTAGCCTTTGATAATATTTCTCCCGAAATACTGGATAATACGTTTCTGTCACTTCAACAAGTTATGCTGGAAGCAATGAAGAACGATGGCTCCAATAATTTTAAGCTCACGCATACAGGGAAAGCAAAGCTTCGCAGCCAAGGGATCCTACCTACAAGTTTAAAATGCAGTAACGAAATTATTGAAAAATCCAGAAACTATCTGAACACTCAAAATAAAAATTAGGAGTACTATTTTTAATTTATTGTTTAATCTAGTTTTTTGATAATGTTGCGTTCTATATTTATTTTCTTCTGCTACTATTATTATGGGACAAATTACGTTCATCAACTGCTACTATTATTATGGGACAGAGGGAGGAGCTCTTTCCTCCATTTCCCCAAAAGGCACAGCTTAGTGCCCCCATTCCTCCCAGCGGGTTCAGTGCCTTGGTATCGGCATCTACAGCCTTAAACTTTAGTTCCATGTCACGTCCTGCCTCCCTGTACAAGGGGTAAGCCTTGTTCGTATATCTACCTCTCGGTACTTCCCCACACAGGCAGGCATGAAGATAGCCTTAGACGTGAGCCACGCAGGGATGCAGCTGCATGCTAAGGAGCCCCGCACGTGTGAATTGCCAGTTGGTAGCAGCAGTGGAGGCCCATGCACAGGACCTGCCCGTGCAGCCCCGACTGCTGCAGGTGCCCGGAACAGCAGTGACGGCTACGGGTACTCGAGCTTCCGCCCTTGCACACCCGTTTCCTGCCACAGTCACTGCCTCCGGTCCTGTGGCACCTTCCGTAGCCCATTCACTGGCAGGATGGGCGGAAGTAAACCGACCTGAGCTGGCCCCTCTGCGCAGCACCGTTCAGGCCACAGCGGGCTCTCGGGACGTTGGGAACAGAAGCCCACAGAATGGGCATGGGGTCCTCGCTGGCAGGCCCCACGCTCCCCGGACAGCCCAGGGGCTGCGTTCAGAGAGCTCTCACCTGTTCAGTCTGTGCATTTGATAGCAGAGTGGCCCATTTTTTCACACTGAAAGAGAAAAGGTTAGTGGCATTGGTTTTTGTCAATTCAGACCCCGAAAGAAAAACCCTAGGCTGTCCAGGGAACCAGAGGAGAAAGCTGGCTCCGCGGAACCTGGTGGCTTCTGCTCATCAGTGAAGCCCCACTGCAGGCCCCAAACAGGCCTGGAGATTCAAGCGGGGCATCACTACCCCGGAGAGCGGGGCTGTGGACGCTCAGGCCAGGAAGTCGGATGTGGGAGGAGGGCAAGGGTCTGCCCTTACCTCTCACCCTGACGGGACTGACTGGCAGAACAGAGAGGTCAGAGTTCAGGACAGTTAGAGGCATCGCATGAAGGTGTGAGGAAGCATGATGTCCTGATAAGCCAGAGGACAGCAAAAGAGAAACCCGGGTGCGGCCTGTCCTCCCTGCCCACTCTGCCCCCCAAATCCTACGGACACTGTACACAAATAACTCCAGAGGACTCGTAGGCAGCAAAATAAGACATGGAAACTTACTAGCCTTTTTAAAAAATATATATTGTATTGATTTTTATGGAGAAGAAGGGAGAGGAATCCAGAGTTAGAAACATTGATGAGAAACTGATCAGCTGGCTTCTGCACGCCCCTACTGGGGATCGAGCCTGCAACCAAGGTACATGCCCTTGGCCGGAATCGAACCCGGGACCCTTCAATCCACAGGCCGACATTCTATCCACTGAGACAAACCAGTCCGGGCCATACTAGCCTTTTAAAGAAATGTGTCTGGCAGCAAGAATAAGATTAGGCAGTTGTCACGCCCCTGTCATACATTTGGGGTACCATTGTCCCCCTCCCTTCACTCCCACTCCCAAGCCCTGGTGCGGCTTTCTTATCTGGCAGGAGAGGACTCACACTTGTGCAGCTAATCACCCCGCCCTCAGCCCTGGACAGAAAACAACCTGAAACCCCCGCCCCCTCCCCCGCATCCTGCTGAAGGGCCCTGCTCCTGCGCCCTGGCACCCAGGCAGTAGGAGAGCAGCTGCTCCTGAGGCACCATCGGAAGGGGGAGAAGCAGGCACCCCATTGGGAAAGGGGGCTTTCGAGGTGGCCGGATAGAAGCAGGAGGTGCTGAGCCCCATGGCCAGGTGAGCTGCAGATACAGGGGACGCGGGAGAGTACGGTGCAAAGAGCTCCTGCAGACATTCCTCTGTGCGGACGCAGCCCCTTCTCACTGAGGGTGCGGCCCCGGCCAGGCCTTCAGGCAGAAGCCAGGCTTTGAAATGCCTTTATTTACCATTCTCACTGCTGAAAACACAACATTTGACCAAGGTTAGAAATGGGCTGATGAATTCCCCACCTTCTAGGGGAGATGCCACTCAGAACCAGCAGGGGGCGCCCTCCTCCCGCCCATTGCCATCCCAGCCTGGCCAGCTAGTGAACAGGAGCTCAGCAGCCATCATTCCTCGGTCCAGGCTGCCCAAAACCAGGAAGGGGAGGGGGGCAGGCTTGGCCCGCGGGCCGTGGTGTCCTGACCCTCCTGGAGGCCGTCAACCCCACCTGGCGCCCACAGGAAGTGCTGTTCCCACAGGGACCCCGCGCCACCAGGGCCTGAAGCACAGTGCCTGGCCCCTGCTCTTTAACACCACGCCCCTGTGAGGAGCAAAGGGGAAGCGGGAGGGGAGGCCTCGGGGCTGAGAGCTGACCAGTCCCACCTGAAGCAGAGGTTACAGAGCTGGAGGGGCCTGGGAGGAACCGCCACACGTATGTGCCACCCATGCAAAGGCGTGTGCCTTCCCCAGGACGGGGAGATGGCGGATGGCATGAGTTAGGGCAGTGGGGACAGGCAGTGCTGGGGACTCAAGGGCCCCGGGCACAGTGAGTAACCGGCATGAGACACAGCCCTTTCTGCCCGCACTCACCTCGGGGCGTTGGGTTGAATAAAGGGACCATCTTGGGGCTGAGGAAGCAGAGAGAGACGTTACAGCCGGGCGCTCACCATCGCCTGATCTAACGTGAGGACCCAGGAAGGAGCCCAGACCCTCCCGGGGACGGGGGGAGGGCTGCAGAGAGTTCGGACCCTCCCAACATCATTTCTACCCTTGTTTCTAGAACAGTCTGTGAAGAGCCACAGGCCCGTCCCCGGCATGAACATACATGAACAGCCCGGGGCAGGGTTCCGTGTGGCCGAGGGAGGGGTGGGTGTCCAGGGAGCAGTGCAAGGAAAACACTGGGCAGATGCTGCCGGGCACTTCATCCCCCACCTGGGTCAGGAGCTACGGAGGGATCCAGATCGGAAGCCAGAGAGCGGGCCCAGCACTGGGGATCACACTTACTGTGCGTACTGGCACTCGGGTCCCAGCGGGCAGAAGCCAACTAAGTAGTTCGTGCACATGACCCTCTTGACGTGGCGGTATTTACACAGGGGACCTGCCAGGCAGAGAGAAACGGCCGGAAGCATCTGTGTTAGCAAAGGAGGAACACAGGCCAGGGATGGTCACAGCCGTCCACGCCATGGGTGTACAACTGCCTGCCCTGTCCGTACCGCCCTGAGCACCTGCTCCTAGCCCCGTGACAGATGGGAAGGGAACCCCGGAAGGTGTAGGGTCGGAAGTGTCCCCAACACTCCGTCTTGAAGGATGCAGACCGTCATTTGCCGTCTTGTATTCCTTTAGCCATGGGAGGCGCAGCTGAGGTAAAGCTCACCCCACATCTCACTAACCCTCCATCGGCGCCCCTTCTCTGCAACCCCCCCCCAAAGCAACCCTGCCCAGAACTCAGCAACATACCTGAAGGCACAGGATGCTCAGCAGGGACCCTGCTGTGGTCCCTGTCCCCTCAGTGGCTGACTGTAATGGGGCAGGTGGAACGTGCTTAAGTGACAGGATACCCCCAGGTGGGTGAACTGAGGGCCCTACAGGCCCGACCCTATGCCAAGGGCTCCCCGTGGGGTCCCCCATGGGAGCGGCCCGACGACCCGAGGATGGAGCCGTCTCCTGTTTCCACAAGTGAGGAAGCAAGCAGTTCAAGGTTGTGCAGCCGACACACCCCGAAGCCATTGGGATTGCACCCACGCCGGCTCCAAGAAGCCCGCCAGCCCACACCAGCCCACGCATCACAGGGTGACAGAGTTCTCCTGGGAGCGAGCTGAGAACCGTGGAAAGGACATCTGCTGGGATTCCAACCCAGGGAATGCCACCTCCCTGCCGGACGACCGCCCACCTGCCCCCCACACACACACACACACACACACATCCCCTTTGCTCCCTCTGTCTGGGCCTCACCTTCTTTGCAGAAACCCTGGTCGTACGAAGGACAGGCCTGGGCCTCGGAAGCTGTCTTCATGTGAAGAAAGTAGCATTCCTTGTTGCTGCACTCACCTGAAAACCCCAGCGTTCTCTAGACAAGCGGGCTCGTGGTCACGGTTACCTCTGCCCCCCTCCTCCCCCCACACATACAACATTGACCTTGCCCCTCGAATAGAAGCCCCTCGCCTTCCCTCTGGTCGTCAGCAGCTTTGAAGACAGGGAGGTGTTTCTAATCCTCCCTGCACTCTACCAAGGGCGGACCCCTGCACACACTTGGAGCGGTTGGGTGGGGCAGGCCCGGTACCCAGGAGGGGGGACAGGACTGAAGGCAGACGCCATTGGGGAGGCAGGAAGCAGGCAAGGCGGGACCCGGGGCTGGCAGCCAAAGACCCAAGACGACATAAGACACTGAAGGAGACATGGCCACACGCTGTGACCAAGGCCACTGTTCCTCTCCGCAGTGAGATGACACACCCTGAGTCGGGTGCAGCTCTTCGCGGTGAAATTGCCAAGAAGAGCAGGCCCTGCCTCAGAGTTGTCCCAGGGATGGAGACTGTGGGAGAGACCAAGCTGCCCCCCACCACCCCCCCGGCTCCCCGGAGTTTGCACACACTATTCGAGAGTCACCGGTGAGGACCCTCTTAGATGTCTCTTAGCGACCCAGGGGCTCTGAAGGCGCCACAGGGCGGGGAAGGGGGGATTCAGCCCATCTCCTGCCTCACTCAAGTCGAGAACTGAGGTTTCCCACTTCATGCTCCTTAAAGGCCTACAACTCTGTGCCTTTCGGCGCCAAAAGATGCTCCGAGGTGCCTATGCCATTGGTTTTCAAACTGCTCAGAGACCTGTTTCGTACACTGGGCTTCTGCAGAGCAAGGGCTCACCTGAAGGAGAACCCCACTGGCATGCTCCTTAAAGGCCTACAACTCTGTGCCTTTCGGCACTGAAAGGTGCTCCCGGTGCCTATGCCATTGGTTTTCAAACTGCTCATAGAGACCTGTTTCGTACACTTGGGCTTCTGCAGACCAAGGGCTCACCTGAAGGAGAACCCCGCTGGCCCCTAAGAGGCCTGAGCCTCTGTTCTTGCCCAGCCCTCTCCTTTCACACACGGAGATGCCAGTGACCAGACAGGGCAGGTGGGATGTCCATTTTCACAGGCTCCTCACATAAGGGGTTTAGCTGTCTCATTGCCAGCGTGCATCTGACTCTGGGCTGGGCCTTCTAAGGCATCCAAAGGACACCTGCCACCACCACCCCAGACCCCCGCCTCAACCCCCTGCAGGGGCTGGTGAACACCGGATAGATGGAGACAGCGGGAAGTCACCCTATGCACTGGGGTTGCCTTTCTGCCCTGGATGCACAACGCTGCATCCCTCTCATGGCCAGCAGGTGGCGCCCGCACCTCACCCTCCAGAGACACCCGGGGAACCTTTTTGATGGGCACCCTCCCCACTCCTACACGCCCCAACAATCTCTTTAAAAACAAAACGACTTACTTCCAACAAGAATGATAATCACTTTGGCATGCGGTTAGAAAGAGATATCCATTCATTTACTCCAAGAGCAAAAACACATTACGTAGTATTGCAATCACGGGTTTACACGCGCAGAAGGGGACCTGGTCCTATTCCTGCATCCACGTCCAGCACAGCATCCCCCAAAGAAAACCAGGGTTACTGAAGGAGTCAATAGTGGTACTTCAAAAGGAAAGAGGTTTACGCGATGACCGAGGGGAGCAGGCCCCAGATCAACTTTGTCCTGAAGGGACACGTGCGGGCAGCCCTCGTCAACTGCCACAGCTCTCAGCTCCAAGGACCAGGCAGGAAACGGATTGGGCCTGGGAGGAGCTCTCTCCAGGACCTCCCCACCTGCCCTCAAAGCTGGCTCAGTTTCAAAGCCACAGCCACCACCACCGCCACCGTCAGAGGCACCCCCGGAGGCTGTCCCAGCTCTCCCTCCTCCAGGTCACTCTTTTCGGATCACACTTTCAACACCACTGGACTAGACCATCCTTAAGGCTCCTGTTCTGGAAAGCATGGAGCTGTAGAATTCTAGGGAGAAGGAAATATTCACAGAGTCCACGCCTACACGAGGCAGGAAGCGGTGTGGCTCCTGCCCCGCAGCCCCTTGGGTGACAACAGGAGGACTTGAGGCCCAGATCTGATCACACAAGATAATTTTAGGGGCTCCACTTCTGAGCCCCAGGGTTGTTTGTTTCCAGTTACCTTTTATTGCCAACGAGTGATGCTAGCTTTCCATTTATGGAAAAATATACAGTTTTCTTCTAAAGTGCGAGTTTAAAATAGCGAAGCAGTTGGAAAATTATACACTGGTGCAGGTCAAAGGACAAGTGCTTGGTGGGAGTGGCGAGCACGGGAACGGGGCCCCCACGTGCCTGCTGCTGGGGAACCACTGGCCTGTCCCCCCTCCCAAACCCCGGGCCGAGAGATGGCCCATTCGAGGCCGTTTCCGGACAGGGAGTCTGGGTGTGACTTAACCAGGGCTGCGGAGGGAAATGGCTCAGCCTTTGATCCAGCCACACCCGCTCCTTCCCTTGGGTGGGCAGTGTGTGCCCCAGCCTGGCAGGGGCAGATAACCCAGGACCAGAGTTCAGTTCCACTTTCTCTAGGGCGTCGGTCGGAGAGGCAGGCGTCTGAGGCTCAGGCAGGCCTGACCTGCCCCCTGAGACACGCGAGGCCTCCTTTGGAGTCCCTCCCGAGCGTCCCATCCCACAGCCGCCGCCGCCATCCCCGGGGAACGGGCAGGAGCCAGGGGGGCCTCACCGAACTTGGAGAAGAAGTAGCACTCGGGCATCCTGGAGAGGTCGTACTGGTGCAGGAACCGGCACTGGTCGCCCTTCTTGCACAGCCCGCGGAGCCAGTGCTTGCACACCACCGTCTTCTCCCCGTGGTCGTGCCGGAACGGGCACAGCCTCCCTGGGGACCAGAGCGCCCAGCTGGGAGCCCCCGCCACCCCCAGCCGCGGCCCTCTCACCCCTGGGCTCAGACCCAGCTGCCCCCTCTAATCCCCTCCCCTGGACCCTGGCGGTGGCTAGGACTGGGGGCCAGAGGCAACAGGGGGGACCTGCTATGGTCCGAAGAGATGGCTGTGCCCACGGCCACACCTTTGCCCGGACTTTCCTCTCTGCCTGGTGTGGTGCCCGTCAAACCCCAGGAAGCCCCCAGCTGTCGGGACACCCCCTCTCCTCCAGGCTCACAGGGGGGCTCCCACCAGAGAGCAGAGGCATGGTCCCCAGGCCTGCCCCCCACAGCACAGTCCCTATCACATAGTACGTGCTCATTAAGGGCCTATTGGATTCATGTGTTAAAAAAAAAATTATGCCTCCCGATTCCAGAGGCCTAGCGTGACCACGAGTGAGGCTGACGTCAGAGCCAGCTCCGTAAGGATCAGAAGGAAGCGGGAATGTGAGATTTAACTCTATCGTCGTCACCAGCACGCTGTTCCATCAGCAGGAAGGACACCCCAGGCCCCACATTTCTAAGGGGCCTGGTCTCCCGCATCTGGAACAGCTGGGCGGCCCCACACGGGTTCAGAGGACAAGCCTGGTCAGGCCCATGCAGGAGGCAACCAATCGATGTGTCTCTGTCATATCTGTTTCTCTCTCTCTCTCTCTCTCTCTCTCCTCTCCCCATTTCCCTCTCCCTTCCACTCTCTCAAAAAAAAAAAAAGTCCCCCAAATGG